TTTAAATTGAAACATTTTGAAAATAATACACAAGATATGTCTTTGACACTACCATGCAACATTAATTTGTTCACATTTTACTATTCTAGCTAGTTATGACATGCTAAAAACTATACATTAATATAGACTTTTAACTTAAAATTTTCATAATTTTTAAGGAAAAAATTACAAGTCATTCTATAAAAGTTATAGCTGTGCCATTCAAAATTCTAATTTTCTGAAGATATCATTTACCCATGTGATTCACTGGTTAAAATGCTAAGAAAGTGCTCAGTAGCATAATTTTGAGTATGCTATAAAGTCCTAACTCTTAAAAAGGGATGGTCCAGAACAGCCGTAAAGGTGACCCTTGGGAAACATAGCTGTTAGACAGACCCAAGTACCATAATAAGAGCAGGTCCAATAAGAGATCTGATTGTAACTGCCATTCAAATTTTCTTATCAGTGGTGCAGTGCAAAGAACTTCTGTCCCCAGGAAGAGAGCATGATGGATGAGAGCATCCTTGTCTGATAGTCCAGAGGGTCTAAAGATGGAGGGCAGGTGCAGGGAGCAAACTGCCCATGTGTGATCCCCATGACTCAACCCTCAGGCTACATGGGATTGGTACTTAAAAACTTAAGAGAAAATTTTTCCTTCCAAGATTTTATTTAAAATCAAGTTAGTAGTATAATTTACTGATTCATCACCTACATAAAAAAAAATCTAGTTTTCATTACAAGTGCCCTCCTTAATGCCCATCATCCATTTTAAAAGAAAAATGAAGGATAAACCTAAGATGCATGACTAAAATCATTAGGTTACATGATCTGCTCTATTAAAAAATCATTTAAAAATTGATAGTGTTATAGAATTTAAAGTTAAAAAACTTTATTTTTTAAATTGTTTTTAAAGTGTATTTATTATTAAAAGAGAGAGAGCACAAGCCGGGGAGAGGCAGAGAGAGAGAGGGAGACACAGAATCCAAAGCAGGCTCCAGGTTCTGAGCTGTCAGCACAGAGCCTGATGTGAGGTTCGAACCCACAGACTGTGAAATCATGACTTGAGGCTAAGGCAAACACTTAACTGACTGAGCCACCCAGATGTCCCCAAAGTTAAAAAAAAAATCCTTTAAATCATGGCTAACAGACACATGAAGAGATGTTCAGCATCACTCATCATCAGGGAAATACAAATCCAGAGTATGATGAGATATCACCCCATACCTGTCAGACTAATTCAAATTAACAACGCAGGAAACAACAGATGGTGCCGAGGATACAGAGAAAGAGGAACCCTCTTACACTGTTGGTGGGAATGCAAACTGGTGCAGCCACTCTGGAAAACAATATGGAGGCTTCTCAAACATATAAATAGAACTACCTTAAGGCCCAGCAATTACACTACTAGGTATTTACCCAAAGGATACAAAAATACAGGTTCCAAAGGGTATATGCACCTGTATGTTTATAGCAGCATTATCCATAATGCAAAATTATGGAAAGAGCCCAAATGTCTATTTACCGATGAATGGATAAAGAAGTTGTGGTATATATACACAAAAAATATTACTCAGATATAAAAAAGAATGAAATCTTGCCATTTACAATGCCATGGATGGAGCTAGAGTGTATTATACTAAGCTAAATAAGTTAGAGAAAGATAAATATTATATGATTTCATTAGTATGTGGAATTTAAGAAACAAAACAGATAAACACAGGGAAAGGAAAAAAAAGAGAAAGGGATGCAAACCATAAGAGACACTGAACTATATAGAACAAACTGAATTGTTTGGGGGGGGGCGGGAGGAGGGAGAGGGGCAAGGAATTGGTTAAAAGGGTGATGGATAATCAGGAGAGCACTTGCTATAATGAGCATTGGGTGTTACATGTAAGTGATGAATTACTAAATTCTACTCTTGAAACAAATATTACACTATATGTTAACTAGAATTTAAATAACTTGACCATAAAAATGATAGTGTTATAGAATTTAAAGATAAAAAATCTTTAAATGATTGAAATCTCCAACATTATAAAATTATGCAGTGGTGACTGGTATGGAAACCAAATGCTAAAATAGTGGAAGCATTTAGAGACACGTTTCTGGTAAATACAAGGAAGTTCTACCATACATAATGAAGCAATTTATGAGAAATATTTAAACTTCAAGTTTAATACATCTATATACTAGAAATATAGGTATAGTAAAAACAACATCTTAAGTACATTCATGGATAGTAAATGAAAATAATATAGGAAATTGGTGATAGAAAGAGGAATGGATGGAGAGCTTGATGAACTATACTCTAAAGACCTGGTTTTTTTCTTATTCTTTCTTTCTTTCTTTTTTTTTTTTCATTAAGGAGATAATGGCCAGTTTTAGGCAAGACTACCTTTTCAGAGTTTATTTCCTTAGGACTAAAATGATTGGATACAGTTAGTGTTTTGTTTTGTTTTAAGCTAGGAAATACATTGTCATCATTCATATATTTTATCTAAAATAGTACTCAAAACTTAAAAAAAAACCTATAGATAGAATTTGTATAGATAAATAAGAGGTGAGTAATTTGGCTGAAGAGGTTTGGACAGCCAAACACCAGCTCAGCCACGTTGGTAGCCTTGAGACAGAAGCCTGCAGAATACAAGTTGAAAATATTATGGTCTCCCTTCCATCAAATATAGACTATGATTTCTAAGTCTTTTGTTTTAAAGAGAGGAGCAAACATTTGCTACAAAATATCTTTGTCTCCAGCTTTCAGAAGAACAACATAAAAGAATATGGGCCACAGGTCTATCTCCTTGTGTCAATTTCTTTTCTTTATCTCAGGGAACTGATGGAGGGTTTTATTTTTTTCTTCTTTTATTATTTTTTGACGTCTGTTAAATGAGCTCTTGTGTGTGATGTTTTATATTTCCATGAATATTGTTCTGAAAGCTAAAATACCTGGTATTAAGTACATCATGTAAACTCTTTGTGAATTGCTTTCACCATAAATGAAAGCCTTTTTCCTGGCAATTACATTTTTCTTTGATTACTACTACGTTTTGTCTTCTTTTTTCTTTTTGCAATTAGTCTTGTTTATCTGATCTTATTATAGTAATGTTTGCTGAATTGACTACTCGTTTGAATTAGCTAGTTACCTCTTTTTAGAATCTTTTTCTATGCTAATTCTAGGTTTGTCTATGTTTAATGTTTTTGTTGTTACAGTTATTTAAGGGTTAGGTAAAGAGATCTTTGTATTTAATTGAGTAAATTTCATTTTGAAATCCTAATCTTTACCGTTGTTGATTTTCAGAGAATGTTTGTGTTTTGTGTGTGTGTGTGTGTGTGTGTGTGTGTGTGTGTGTTTAGCTTAGAATTCACTCCTCAAAACATTTATAATTGTATGATACCCATGAACTGGTTTTATTGAGCTGTTTTGTTTGTTTATTTTTACCTTCGATTTGTGATGTTGATATCTCTAAAAGGCAAAGTTAGATCTAAATTTCCTACTTGGTTCTCTGTATTCAGAAAAGGTCTTTCTCTTTTAAAGTATATGCCCATTACTTTGCGTATAATGAATACAACAGTCTTTCACCAAATGATTTTTCTTGGGTTTCAGTCACTGTAAATTACTCATTTAAAAACTATTGAAAGTATGGGGGGTCCTGTGTCCTCAAGAAGTTTATGTCACTGTATTTTTATACTGCTTTCTCTGTGCCTTTTGTGGAAGATGGGTGGAATTCTGGTCCCATTAGCAAATGAGATACAAATTAAGTCAAGCACAGTCAGTAACATCTTTCCTATTGAATGTTTTTATATCTTTCATAGAATTTCCAACTTGTGAGCCACTAACTCAATTTATATGCAAAAGTGGAAGATGCATTAGCAGCAAATGGCACTGTGACTCTGGCAAGTACCAAATGTTTACTGTATTGTACTGATTTGATTGGTGGCCTGGCTGTCAGTAAGATGTAGTCCATAAGAGAAGCTTGCAGAGCCAACAAAATGGCCAAGACAAGTGGTGAGAGGGCACCTGGCACATCACTGGGGATTAGCATTACGAATAATGGAGCTCAGTATCTGTCCCACGGGGCAATGAAGAGATTTGTGTTCACATATTATGCTGGACATAGTCTAAGTCTACAGATGTGAAGTAAAGGGGACAATTGAGGAAATGACCTGGACAATTTGGATTCCCCAAAGCATTTATGTAAAGTGCTCTGTATTCTCAGGATGGAGGAGTTTATAAATTATTATGGAATTAACCAAATGTCTCAATTCTGCCACCTTGCTATTTACGTACAAATGTTATTTTTTTCTCATACTCAATTGTATCCCTATGCTAAATTATGCCAAATACAGGTAAATGAATTATGTATAAATCATACATTCTCAGCCACTGATTTCGATTTAATCTATTTTCACTTCACATTTCTCTTACCTCCTTCCTGCAACGGTTGTTAATAAAGAATATAAATTACTGCTAATGATAGTGACAATTTCCCAGTATAAGTGCACACTTATCAGTAAGTAGGGGTAGGGGGGTGCATAATCACTCTTTGTGTTGGAGAATGGAGAAGAAAGATCTGAATTAAAGACATGGCTATAGACTCTGGGGCATAGAGAGATTGTGGGGGTCTGAACAGTTTTCTACAATAGTTATATCACCAGCTATATCATTTCATGAAATTCCTGCAGTCATCATTGTCCTTTTTATAATTATTTCATGCTGCATAGATTTGTTCAGTCAATGGTTAGTCATTTCTGAGTGACATAGAAATTAAGTTTTAAAATCCAAGCCCAGGATTTCTTCTTCCCTCTGTGGCTAGCAGTAGATGTTAAAGCACAAGGGAAGTAATGCCAAAATAAAAAGAATTCCCTGACTCTTCATGAGAAATGTTGATCGCTGATTTATCATTCCTTTATGAAAAACAAAAAGATGCTCTATATACGAAAAAGAAATGTTACAGATTTTGTAAGAAAAAGTTTCTTCCTGGGTCAGTTTTCACTCCCTTGATGTTGATGATCCTTTCCAGATGATGACTGTGGGGACGGCAGTGACGAAGTTGGCTGCGTTCACTCTTGCTCTGATAATCAGTTCAGGTGTTCCAGTGGCAGATGTATCCCAGGCCACTGGGCCTGTGATGGTGACAATGACTGTGGAGACTTCAGTGATGAAGCCCAAACCAATTGTACCAGAGAAGGTCAGTAATTTTGTGACTCTATGAACTATCATTTTAAATTGATATATAATATTCGAACACTTCAGAATGGATATTATATAAAAATAATATACTCAGCAGTTAAAAATATATATATTTAGGAAAGTATAAAAATAATTTACTGATCACTTTCACTCTTTTATTTCTCTTGTTTCTCATCTTACTACCTCCTTATACTTTCTGTGGATTTTGCTTCCTACATTCAATAGATGCTTTAGTTGCTACAACTTTAATCCTCTCCAACTTCTAAATTGCCAAACCCCAAACCCATCCCCAAAGGAAAACAAGCAAACAAAACAAAGAAACAAGAAAGGCATAATTTTTTATTTTATTTGATCGCCAAATTTGTTTCCTTAAGACTTGAAATAACCTCCTATTAACTGGTGATTCATTCCAACTGAATAACTTCTGGAATGCAAGCTAAAAGGGGGAAACTGTGATGAGGGGTCTCAGCATGTCCATGAGCAAGCCTGACCCTGTCATCTGCATGCATTACTTTCCAAAATTTGATCATCCATAGGGCATGATAACAAATTAGAAATCATCCTGGAAATACCATGGGAAAAATCATTAGACTGCCATTCATACAATCAATTTTTTTTAATAGAGGTTTTCTTTCTGCTTAAGAAATTGGAAGAATTTGTTATTCACTCTTTCATTTATTCTACTAATAATCATAGAAGAGTTTTTGTGTGTTAAGCACTGTACTTGGACAAAAAGGTAGATAAAAGGATAAAGAAATTGGTCCCCATTCACTGTTTAAAATCTAGCAGGCAAATAGACAGACAATAAAGTGATTTATTTAATGAATTGGATACTGGAGTGGGAGGCATATATTGTGTGGTCAGAAGAAAGGAATCATCTTCAAAGTGTTTCCCAGGGTATATATTTGTCTTGTGCAAGCATTTAATAAGTTAGAAAATTCCTCAATTTTTGTTCCTCTGATCTGATTTCTTTTGTCTTTTTTTTGTTTCCTCTCTGTCCCTGCCTTCCTCTCCTCTTCCCCTTCCTTTTTCTCTTTCTCCTTCTCTTTTTCATTTCTCTCTCTCCCACCCCTCTCTCTATCTCTATCTCATTCTTGTGTCCTTTTCTCTATTATTTTTTGCTCCACTAATATATATGAACTAGAGCTTTTTGCTTATCATCAACCTTTCATTGAAAAAGAAAAGGTGCACAAAAATACTTTTTTCCCTTTTTATCTTTCTATATTAGAAGCATTCATCTGGGGTGAAGTTGATATGTCATTACTAAGTTACACTATGAATATAAACTGCATTTCACCCCACCTCACAGATGTCATTTTAGGCTCCTCACGAGGTGTACATCTGTGGCCTTCTGGCACTGCCCCTAATATGCTGTGAAAGACAAATTTCCCCAGAGTTATCTTACTTTCATCTCAGAAGTGAGATCTTATCCCGCTTTTCTATGTTTATTTGTCCCTAAATTAAAATACTTATTGCACATTAAGAAGTTTTTGGAGAGATTGCTTTAGCTTCATGAGTATCCAGAATAAGTGTTATACCCCTTGTACCTCACTAGATAGTTTTTCGGATTTGGATTATGATTATAATAGAATCGGTGACTATTTAATGTTAATGACCTTCACTTTTAAAGCACCTCACTTTCACTTATATATTACTCTAAAGGATATACTGTCAGTGTGAACATCATGGATTTATTATATGATTATGGTAATACACTAAGGAAATGATCCAGATAATCGACATGATTCTTGGACATGTTTCAAGCAAAGAATGAGGAGAACATCCTGAACTAATTTATATTTATCATATTATAAATTCCCTAATCAAATACTCCACTTAGCGGATACAAGTTGCAGAAATTGAAGAAAGGGAGCAGTCTAGGATGACTTTGCTATAAGACAATTCAAAGTATTTCAGAGGACATTTACATATTTTTATCCGTCATTATTTTAAATATTCTGATACAGAAGTTGTAAAATAATCACGACACATAGAATTGTTAAAGCTGATCAGGAAAGAAAGTCATTTTGCACATGCAGGTTTTGTGAGACCATTGCCAAGGTAAAGTAGAAATGTGATGCAATTAGTCATATAATTTAGTCTCCAAACCTGCTGTGGAAGAAAGAGCAGGGAATTCTGGCCTGAGTTTCAAGACTGGCTGTCAAAACTGATCAATTCCACTATATAATTGCTCAGCACTTTGCTGTACAGTGCCTGGGTTAAAAGAGCATATGGCGTAGTTTCTCTCAACTTAAATTGTATTCAAAAGGATAAAAGTACTCTTGAATTCACTTTTTATCGTAAAGGAGCAGAAGAAACCAGGAAATGGAACATTCCATATATAACCCCCATTTTTAGAAAATTCCTGAATTTAAATTCATTCATATTCTCTCTGAAACCATTTTCAAAAAAGAATATCTATAGTGATCATTTTTTTCATCATTAGTATGATTTAATGTATGGGGAAAATATTAATTGCTAGTCCCTTTCTAGATTAATTCATACTTCTCTCCTTCCCCCTAATGTTGTGATGGTCTTCCCTCTCACTTCCAAGCTCACATACTAGGTAAACAAGGTGCAATATCTTTGGAACGCACTGTACCCACACACATACACACACACAGTCTACAACCAGTAGTAGAATAGAGAGTCCACAGCACACTCATTCTTTCCTTTGTCTCATTTTCTGTTATCATTAATTTAGCTCTGAAAACTTTGATTTGTGCATATTTCTTTAGTGACTCATTAGTAAAACTACTGGATAAATAGTTTTTTTCCAAGTAGAAGAATAAGTGGATGAATAGTTTTTTGTTTGTTTGTTTGTTTGTTTGTTTTTCCCAAGTGGAAGATTTTGGTAGGAAGGAATTCTCTCTAGAGCCTTAGGCTTGGCCATTTAGTAAGTATTAAAAGGTTTTGTAAAAAGATGTTTTTAACCTATAAAAACATCAAGAGTAATGTTAAAATGAGACTTCAGTCTTTTCTTACAAATATTTAACTGTCTGAACACATGCATCTATAAAATACCAAATATATGCAATTAATCTTATCTCATTGTTGACAGTTTAATTCATTTGAATTATGTATGCTTTCATTCTTCTACTCTTTTGGGGGAATAGTCACAACCATATTTCTCCCAAGGAATAAAACATTTCTGAAGTAAACATATGTATTATTTTAGTATCTTTAGAGAGCTATTCCCCAGGTCAATTTACATTCAGGAATTGTGTAAAAATTTATACCGAATAATTTCAGCATGGATTTGATGGATAATGGAATAGGTTTCTCTAGAATTGATTTTACCTAATGTTTGCAATTTCTCCTAAATGCAACTAAAATATCCCTCAAATATTTGGATTTTTCTTTACTTTTCAAAGTAAAGAAATCATTTGACCATAATTTATTGTCATTGTCCTTTAATACCTTCTATTTGTCTACCTAAAAAGGGAATATTTACAGCCAGCTGTACTAAGTGAATGAACTGGTGATGCTAGAACATAGGTGATCTCTTATTTACATTGCAAATACAAATGAAATGCCAATTTAAAATTAAGCATATATGACCTTCAGTTTTGATTTATTATGAATAATCTTTAACAAGTTCTCAAATCCATTAGGCAATTAAATGTATAACATTATTAATATGTATTTCTACACATGGTCATATTCTTCTGTTTTAACTGTTTAACTTTGCTCCTTCTTTGGAAACTTTCACATTTCTTTTGCGCTTTGTATTCATTCATTCATTCATTCATTCATTCATTCATTTTACTTACTACTTCCCTGTTCATAGATTTAAGAAGGAAGCTAGAATAATTTCTTTTTATCTATGTAATTACATATTCAAGTACAATATTTGATATACAGTGAATGCTCAATAAATAATTATTGAGTGAAAGAGCTTATTTCTTGACCACAAAATTTGATGTTAGCCTAGGAATCCAACCCTTATTTGTTTTGTATTATATATCTAATAACTTTTTTCTGCTTGTTTGCCAGATCCTGGAGTTTATGTGCACGGTGATGCGCAAGAAAGACTAGGTGTACTGATCTATTCATGTACATTTCCTTAATAAAGTGTAATCATTTTCAAGTGATTCAAATACCAAAATATTGGCATTTTCAACCCAAGATTCAATAAAATAAAACAGGACATCTCCCTTATCTTTTATTCTTGTTTATTTATTTTTATTTTCTGTCCAAAAAATAGTAAGTTTGAGAAAGATAGGAAGAGTTTGTTTGTTTGTTTGTTTGTTTGTTTGTATCTATTATTTAATAGTAAATGCCAGTGAAGAGATTCCATTAGTAATAATTTAGGGAGGCAGCAGCAGGGAGAAGTTAGTATATGTTAACAACCCACTAATTGCCAGGCACTTTACATTTGTTATTCTCTTTAATCCTCACAATAAGGATTACTCAGAGAGGTTAAAATGCTTGCCTAGGATTACCCAGCTGAAGTTTCAAGCAAAGGTTTCTGTTCCTTTTTCTTTCATCCAGCTCCCTGCTTCTGCAGCTTTGGAATATAATCTAACCCCTCCCTTTTTTTCTAACTCTTTATGCATTATCATTGATATGATCTCCCAATAATTACAATCGTTTTCTCAATTGCATTCTCTCTCTCTCTCTCTCTCTCTCTCTCTTTTTACCTTTAAGAGAAAAGAAAGAACTTTCTACTTGTTACATGTCATTGTAATGAAGTATTCCAAAGGTCACTAGAAGGAACTTGGACCATTATATTAAATAACCACAGTAAATCTGTCTCTTTTGTTTGTTTGCTTCTGTTCTTTCACTCCCACAATTCACACTGATAAAGTGGATTCTGAAGTTTTGTCATTAGAATAGCTGTGGACCTTCCCACAAAGACAATTTCCTCAGTCGCCCAAAAAATATGTTAGTCTGTCATAAAAATTTCACCTTGTAGACTTGGAAAATATTTAAAACTAGAAGAAAATGAAAAGATCATTAGTTCAGTTATTTTATAGTGCAGATGATGAAAAGGGC